GATTAGTTATCGTGTTAATCTAAAATCCATTATTTTCGTGTCATGTTAGAAACTACCAAGTCTACTATAAAGTATGGCGGTAGGATACTCTCAGATGCTTGAGCAGTGGATTTTGCCTTTGTCCTTGCTTCTTTGCCTGCCCTTGTAAACCACTTTTTTTATTTTTTTTTAGTCGAATCGTAAACCACTTCTTGCTCATTACTTTACAGTAAATTTGACTAAACAGCACTTGAATTATTCTATTGAGTGATGCTTTGCACATTATTAAACATAAAAGAGAATCGTTAATGGTGTCCTTTTGTACCTTGATCTTTTATATATCCATGCTACTTTTTCTTTTTTCATTCTACAACATTCTTTGTTATTCATACAATATTCTAGTAAATAAGGTGTTAAGTTTTTACATATGCGCTCCAGATTTGAAACTCTTTCATCTCTTAAATTATTGTAATAATTTTGAACTCTCCCTCTTCCCTTAGTCCTTAATAATAGTAAAAGTTAAAATAAAAAATTATTCAATTTTGGTGTAATTCCTCAAAGATTATTTCTACAAAATATTAACAAAATCAGAAGTCACTTGTAGCCATTTATTAACAATATAATAAAGGAATTGAGGTTTCATTTTCTAGATAAAAACTCATCTATCTTTAAAGATCCAGTTTAAGCCCAAATTTAAAATTTGCAAACATATGGGAACACAATTGACCTATTAATACAATTTATTTACACTCATGCCACTCATGCTTTATGGTCCCTTTTCCAAATTCCTATATTTATGCCAAATTAAAAGTAGTAGAAAAAAGTGAAATAAAATGTAAAAAGTGTTTGCATTAACTGTATCCATGTCAAACTAGAAAAGTAGTTTTTTTTTTCCGTGATATATTTTGTAGCAATTTTACCCATATTAATTGGTAGGTAAATTAGTTTGTTCCAATTATTAAAAAAAAAAAATACTACAGCTATATTATATATTTTGAATCAAATAACATTTCTCTAACTTGTAGGTAAATTTATTGTTGATTTTATACATCAAACTGCATTTCTTTTGTTATAGGTAAATTATTTTCCATGTACAAGTACTTATGTTAGGCACGTTTTGTTGTTGGTATACATACAATATTTTGTATCATTGTAAAGAAAGATATTACATTACACCCATGGTATAATTGTTGTAGGTAAATTATTGGAAATTAATTTGTAGTTAGGTAATGAACATTTTACATCATTAGAAATGAACATTTCAAATAGTAGGCAGGTAAATTAATTTGTTCTAATTATATAAAAAAAATTACACTACACCTAGTTATATTTAATTTTTCCAATTATTAAAAAAATTTATATACACCCAACCAAATAACATTTATCTAACTTGTAGGTAAATATTTTCCATGTATTGTTAGATATGTTTGGCATGTTTTATTGTTGTATAAACATGGGTGTAACATAGTATTTTTAATACTATGCATCGAACTACATTTCTTCTTAATATAGGTAAATTATTTTCCATGTATTAGTACATATGTTAGGCACGTTTTGTTATTGGTATAAACATTATTTTGCATCATTGTAAAAAAGAGATATTATATTTAGGCATGTGAAAAATGTTAAATGTGTGAAGTAATATGAAATTAATGAATTTGCTTATGTGGATCCTAGTCATTGGGTTTTCTTTGAGTAAAAAAAGTTATGTAGGGTTTTATATGAAGAAAATTGAGTTGGAAGGGCTAAAATCATATTTTCAGTAAAATTAATTGATAATACGGAGAGTAGTCTATCTCGTACATGGAAATGTCTCTTAACTCTCTAATCTAGGATTCACACTTTTAATATATCTCTTCACGTGTGAGTTCATTTGATCCTAACATGTGAACAATATATATTGAACGATGTGGTGGCATGTGAGTTAACCTATCCTAATACAATAACTCGGGTTTGTCATTTGTGTCAAACGTACTTCATGTCACTCAATTAACAATGTAAAAAGTAACCTAACTTTATATAAATACATGCATGGTTTCTTAATGTTAAATTCATGTCAACATTGAGTTTGACTCAAAGACAAAGCAGTTTCGATCATCAAACCAAATTACATGATAAGATATTAAGAATAATAAGATGCAAGAATGTACCTGGCAATTTTTATTTTTTATTTTGTCAATACCTGGCAATTTAATAACCAACCCAGTTGAATGTGAATCCAAAAGAAATACTAATCTAAGCTGTAACAGCACGTGCTTTTTCACTTATAAATTACGCTTTTTAGCATGAAGATTGAAGTTGAACATCAAAGCATTGCATTGGAGTGAGGGATATGCAAATGAAGTGGTCAAGCTTCGATAAGTGAAGTAGTCGACTCGACCCCGTGAGCACAAAGTCACAACAACTCATCCCCCATGACCTAACTCAGAACACCTACTCCTTAATTTAATTAATTGCTTTAATACTCTAATTAATAGCATTTTTAATAGAGATGCAAAATGTAGGTACATTTTACATTTTTGTTGGGTTGAAAATCTCGTCAATAAACAGAATTAAAATAATCATTTTGGCTGAAAAATATAAAATTACTTTTTTTTTTACATATTTAGAATGTAAACCTCCGTCAGTTAATGAGAGAAAAAAATTAGAATAAGACTTATATTTACATCTTTTAAATATATAAAACAGAAGAGATAAATATAACTTATGCATCTCAAATTTGCATCTGTTTAAGATGCTGTATGCTACAATAGTAGCAGTCTAGATGTATTTAACTTGATAAATCGGCTTTGTGACTTTTGATGAAGAGCAACATGGTTTTGCTTGCTAGATCACTCTCTCGCATATTAGGGATTAACAAACACGGGGTGTGCATTATGTCACAGTTAGTGCAGCTTATATCATTTGTTATTGGGAAACTAAATTCCTTTCTGATAGGGAATAAAGCCATCCTCTGAAAGAGTCTGATCATCTGATGTGAGTTTTACCATTAGTTTAAAGATTTGTGACAAAATCACAGATGCCAAGTATAGCAAAAGACTTGGACACCTGATAGATCTGGAAGTACCATTTTTGCATCTTTCAGATCCAATCCACTTACATTAGGATTACTCGTTAATGGTTGGTTTTTTTTTTTTAATATACATCCATACATACATACATACATACATACATACATATATATATATATATATATATATATATATATATCACTAAATTAAAATTCTATTCCGAATAATGTCAACATGTTTGGGAGACAGAAGGTTTGCATATACAACATGTTTGGGGGACAGAAGGTTTGCATATACAACATGTTTGGTAACGGCATATATTAATTATTAAATCTGGCAGTGTACTTTGTTAAGCTGTTAACATGCAACTGAAAAACTGAATCGTGAATCCTCTTCTAGTACAAACTCTTGAGTTTGTTTACTTGGTCAGCAGTTCTGATTGGATAACTTTTCTATTATTATTATCTTGATAAGATGAATGCAATTGTTGACAATTTGGCTTTAGCTGGTAAACCTGTGGACGATGATGAACTCGTCCAAATCATTTTGAACAACCTTGGTCCTGCGTTCGAAATGACTGTCAATGCTGCTCAGGCACATGACACACCTATCACGTACCCAACTCTTGAATCCCTTCTCTTGACTACGGAAAGGAGGATGGTGGAACAAACTGTCCCACTAGTTGAATTAGCCCTGGTGAATGCTTTTGTAGCAGCGAGATGACGTGGTGGACGTTCTCGTGGTACTGGATGTTGTGGTTTTCCATCCAATCGTGGAGGTGTCAATCCACGAGTATCTGGTTCTCTCAACAACAACTACTACCAGCGCATGATTGTTACCAATGCATGAACACTGCGTATGAAGGCCGTATTACCACCAAGCGTCTGAGTGCAATGGCCTCTTCACCAATTGTTTTGAATCGCCAAAACAATGGCTCTTGGTTGCTCGATACAGGAGCAAATGCTCACATCACTCTTGATATTCAGAACTTGGTGAATCCCAAAGAGTACAATGGTAATGAAAACATTGGAGGTGTATGTAATGACACTGGACTTTCTATTGCTCACTCTGGTTTGAATCAAATAAATGCTACTTCTTGCTCGTTTAACCTTAATAATATTTTGCATTGTCCATCTGCTTCAACAAACATAATATATGCCCATAAATTTACTCTAGATAACCATTGTTACCTTCTAATTTTTCCATATAATTTTGTTGTTAAGGACCTCAAGACCGAGAGGACGCTTTTCCAAGGGAGGTGTGAGAATGGCTTATACCCATTTCAAAGTGGCGGTGGAATATCCAAGCATCCTTTGTTTGCATTCGTAGGAGTTCGTGTCTTGGCACAAAAGTGGCACTCTCGTTTAGGCCATCCTGCCGTTCAAATAATCAAGTGTCAGTTCATGGCACCAATGATGTAAAGTTTTGTCAATCATGTCTATTAGGCAAGATTTCTAAATTGCTGTTTAGAACCTCTAAGTCTATTTCTAAATTTCCATTAGAACTTTTACATTATGATGTTTGGTGTTCTCCCGTGGTTTCAGTTGAAGGATATAAATATTATTTGCTTTTTGTGGATGATTTTTCATGATATTCATGGATTTTCCCCCTTAAGCAAAAATCTCAAGTCTTTGAAGTGTTTGTCACATTTAAAATGAAAGTGGAAAATATGTTTAATTGTACTATTAAAACTCTTCAATGTGATGAGGGAGGATAGTATAAGATTCTTGCATTTACTCAATTTCTTGCATTACATGGAATTTCTTAAAGATTTTCGTGCCCTAAACACCCTGAACAAAATGGTCTCGTTGAATGAAAACATCGTCATATCGTTGAAACGGGTTTAGTCATGTTGTCTCATGCTCATGTTCCTAATAAATTTTGGTTCGATGCGTTTCAAACAGCCACTTATATTATAAATAGACTTCCAACTCGTGTTCTCTCAAATAGTTCACCATTTGAAAAATTGTTTCAAAGGAAGCCTAACTATGAGATGTTTAAAGTGTTTGGCAGTCGTTGTTTTCCATGGTTGAGACCGTATACTAATAATAAACTTGAGTCCAAATCAAAGTCTTTTGTGTTTTTAGGATATTCACTTAACCATCAAGGACATAAATGCTTGGATTTATTGAAGAGACAAGTTTATTTGTTTCGCCATGTCCTATTCGATGAGGACTCTTTTCCTTTCCAGGAACTCACACCTATCGAGGGTTGCGTCAATAAAACAAGTATGAATTCTTCACATGATTTGTTTTTTAGTTTCCTATCTTCTCAACCTGCTTCCACTAAGATCATTAACCCCATTGAGCCCATGCCAAATCCCATAGTTCCACAACCAAAACCTATTGTATATGAAATCCTAGGACAACCTGCAGTAGTGCCTTCCAATCCTACGAACAATAGACCACCTCTAGAATCCCTGAATGAGCAAAAAGTAGTGTCGTCCATCCAACAAAATGAACCAGTGAGTGCATCAACCAATTCCATTGTTGCACAAACTCCAATGCATCCCATGACAACTCGTAGCAAAGCCGGTGTCCAAGAACCCAAATTTAAGTATGCATTGCATGTGACTACTAATAAAAAAATGCTTGAACCTACTTGTTTTAGTCAAGCAGTGAAACATCAGAAATGGAGGGATGCAGTGGTGAGAGAGTTCAATGCCTTATGGAGATGTGGAACCTGGAGGTTGGTACCTTATCATTCTTCCATGAACTTGCTTACTAATAAATGGGTTTATAAGATCAAATAACGTGTTGATGGCTCAATTGAACATCATAAGGCAAGGTTAGTAGCTAATGGTTTTCACCAATAACAAGGGATTGACTACAATGAAACGTTCAGTCCAGTTGTCAAACATAGTACCATTCGGTTGGTTCTCAGTCTTGCAATTTCGAATAAGTGGTTCGTCCGTCAACTGGATGTTCAGAATGCATTTTTGCATGGTTATCTTGCAGAGGATGTTTACATGAGGCAGCCAGCGGGTTTTATTGATAAACAATTTCCCAATCATTTATGGACGTTGCAGAGGAGTTTATATGGTTTGAAACAAGCACCTCGTGCTTGGTTTCAACAGTTTTCAGATTTTTTGCTGCAATTAGGGTTCCAAGAGTCAAGATGTGATTATTCTTTATTTGTGTTTAATCATCGTGGAGTTTACTTGATTTTATTAATCTATGTGGACGATATATTGATAACGGGAAACAGTCCAGTTCAAATGAAGAATTTAATAACGAAGCTTGGCACCTTGTTTTCTATGAAGAATTTGGGGCCCCTACATTATTTTTGGGGATTTTAAGTTACTTATGTTAAGAATCATATGCATCTAAATCAATCAAAATATGCTCTTGATTTGCTGAAGAAAACCAAGTTTACTGATGTGAAGCTTATTTCAACTCCAGTACCTTTTGGACACAAGTTGAGTGCTCATGATAGAGCTAACACACCCCAACCCCGAACGTCCACTAGGATTCCTAATCGAGCTGTGCTGGCCGACACCTGGAAAGTGACGAAGCCATAAAGTGTAGTGATATGAAAACTGTGAGTAAATTTAAACCTAAAAGTGCCTAAATACTAGAATGCGCTGGTGAGCTGGTCTGCACCCACTTCACACGTGTCGTCAGAGCATAAGTAAAGTACATTAGTGTGGGTAAAGATCATACCCTTAGAGGTAGCCACTTATACTGAGATTCGTCAAGAATCCTCGTCGATACGAACTTTTAGCAGCTAAAACCTGGAATGGTGCAAAACAGAAAATATGAGTGGGCAAAAACAAAGTTGTTGAAAACATCTTTCTCTTTAGAAAATATAATAACCCCTCACCGTAAAACCCGTATAATTTCCTAGAAAATAATACTACATACGTATATAGAAATCATTCTCGAAAGCATTGGAAACAAGATATATACCATGCCAACTATTGCAGCAATAAATACGTAAGCCAGGTGAAATAAATCAATGTAAAATGTTATGTCAGCCGGAGTCACCTAACGTGACCTAAAAGACTGAACCTATAGCTCATAATCTATTCCTGCACACGAGTTAGAACCACCATTTGTGGTGTGTACGACAGGGCTAGGTGTAAATATGTACGCATAAGTGCTACGATCACGTGAAGGCTGTGCGAATAATCACAGGTCACCTACGAGTCGGAACCACCTAATGTGGTATGTACGACAGGGCTGTGAACCAAACTTGGATTCAAGGTGAGCATTCGGTGCAGGAGGTGAACATCACGTGAAGAACTGTGCCCTAGCCACGGACGGGAGCACTAACACCGGGATACAGGGTAATGAGCACTAAATGCATCCAAGCATAACCATATATATCACAACCACTAACATCACACTGTACTCACTTGTAGCTTACCTGGGCCTCATCAGCATTATGCAACATTATGCATAACTACACTAATGCATATATTAAAATATAACGCAAGTATGACATGGCATTTCAATCACATTTCATTTAAAACAATTTCTGGAAAAACGTAAAGCATACATATGTACGTATATAGAAAACCCAAAAGTCCACTCACATGCAGTTCGCGCTACAACTCCCTGGCACGAATATCAAGATGTCTCGAACGATCGTTGCCTAGAGCAAATATCAATCACACATCTCAGAATCCTTACTGATAGAACACATAATTTACATAAATCACATCCCCAAGGACGATCTAGAATGATTTGAGACCCATTGACCAAAAGTCAACCATCGGTCAAAGATCGACGCTTGAGTCCACAACCCTACGTAACTCGATCCGGAAGATCCACATATCAGATTTCCGATCCATAAATTCCAAAGATACACATTATGTTTCTAAAATAACATACTAAAGTTTCGGAACAATCCAACAATCAGATCTCCGCGAATTGCCAAAACCAAGTGGCGGTTAACGTTTTATTTTATGAACTTACAAATCCAATTTAGAAAGATCCGTATGTCGGATTCCCGATCCGTAAGTTTCTATGGTCCCAAATATTATGTACTATAATGTATTAAATTTTAGTGACGATCCAACGGTCGGATCATTGATTACTATAATGTTCAAGTGGCGGGCCTAACGAAATTTCACCAGATTCTGCAGATTTTGCAGATTTTTTGGGCAATCTTTGAAACTCCATATCTCAGTTATTTGTAAACCAAATTCAACCTATAATATACCAAAACGAAGCTAGAGAAATGTAGAACAAGATATACCTGCCTTGGAGTCCAAATGGTCGCTGGAGATGGCCAGAAAATGGGCTGAAAGACGGCTGTCCGCGGGAAAACAGGGAAATTTGCCAGAATTTCTGGGCAATCTTTCAACGTCCATAACTTTGTCAACACTCAACGAAATCAAGTGATTCAAAAACGGAAATCATAGTTCTTGATGAGAGGAAGAGATTGGTCCCTTGAAAGATGGCTATCTCACCGTGATTTGGTCGGAAAACACCTCGAAAGTGGCTGAGGTCGCCGGAAACTGGGCAAACTTTAAATCATTATAACTTTCTCATTTCTCCACCAAATCACACGATCCAAACATGAAAATTCATCTACACAACATGAGGAATCGATCTATCCCTATTTTGAGTTCAAAAGATGGCTAAGAATTGTCTGAATCACGCCTAGAAGTCCCAGCCCAAAACCTTGTTCTTCGAACTCGAGGTTAGGATTCGTTTTCAATGAAACAAAACTCAAAACTGGGTTTATGGTGGTGAAGCCATGCAGATAATGGCAGTTTTGATGCTCAACAAGCTGAAATTTTTGGTGATGATGGTGGTTTGTTTCACGGGAGAAAGGGAGAGCCGAGAGAGTTAGAGAGAAAAGCTACGGAAGAAGAAGAAATAGAAAGAGAGAGAGTGTTCCAGAATAGTGGGGGTGGCCCAACGTGGCACTCATCCAATGGTCAGACAAAATACCACATGTATTTCAAATGGCAAATTACCAAAATGCCCTTAATGTTTAAAGGTTCATAGAATCTTCGTTATAACTCGAAATTACATTCCACTTATGCCCACGCGTCCGCAGCGACGAGTACTTCGAGGATAAGCTAAGAAAACGAGTCTTACTTAACACGACACAATAGTCAACAAAAGTCAACGCATTTGCCTTGAAGGGTATTTTCGTAAATTCACTTTTAAATTTATAAAATCTATAATTTTTAGGGACGGGTCATTACAATCTACCCACCTTAAAAAATTTCTTCCCCAAAATTTAAAATCATTTGCTAGGCAAAAGTAGTGAAAAGACAGTAGAAAAATAAATACGTGAAGGAGATATCAAGTTAGAGCGGTTGCATAAAAGATAATGCCATTTCGTCGCGATCGGATTGCAATTATTCCTCTTTCATGCCTCCAAGCTCATACTTTTCTTCTCCCTCAGTACAATACTTCAATTTAAAATCTTTTACGAAAACATCAAGTCAAAAATAGATATGTAAAAACATCACGTCAAATTAAGCATATATAAATAATAACGTAAAGTTAAATTAATTGTATTGAAATCAAAGACCAAACATAGAAAGATTTCACCTATGCTCTCGTAAACGAACCTAGTTGCCTACTTGCTTAACGAACCCAACAATAATTTATTGATATTACAGTCTGCAGCCCGCAATACCAATAACTTGTTGTTGTCTTGACAAGCAAGTAAAGAATTCATGAGGGTGCAATATTACCATTTTGCCCCTCATTGTGAAATACACATACATCGCCTAAATAAAACCTTATTTGCGCTCATGCACTACCTTCTCAGGTAACATCGTTAATATCATAAAATTTCTATGTCACAATCTCGATCATTCAAATACCTGTTCAATACGCTTCTATAAAGCACATACTACGCATAAATATTTATATCATTTCTTAAACGATGCTATGCTCATAACCAGGAATGTAACCACAGTTACGCATAACTCTAATAAAAGTAAGTGTCTGCCAATCATGTACCAGGCGTAAAATCTCTATATATCGGCCCCAATGGTACCACAGCAAAACCAAAATTGTAACCGTAGTTACAAGCAACTAAAATAAAGATAGTGTTATGTTGCAACCAACTAATGGTGGGACGAAAAATGTGATACTCAACAAAATCTAATACTCATAACCTCCATAAAGACTTCAAACGGCTTGGAAGTGAAACGCGTAGCACGGTGAGATATATATACGCCAAGATGATAATCTTGTCGGGTTTCTGTTTGCTTGAACTAGCACAGAAGTCTAGAAGCAACTCTTTCATAATGCCATCATCCTCCAAAAGCAAACATAGAAGAAACTATGGTTGTCCAGAAAGTTTGAACTGTATATCCTCAAACATCCCTTCTACCCTAACCAAAGGTAGAGCGTGCCTAAACTGAGAATTCTTTTCAAACACCTCAAGTGGAGCCTCAGTTTTAATTCCTTTCATATCTCCACATTTGATTAGATCGTGAACAAGGGCTTTTAGATCACGGCGTGCGGAAAAGTTAACAACAGCCCACTTCTATCTTAGTTGGCTTCACAAGTGTTTTGTTGTCTAACGCCCATTTTAAGAAAAGAAAACATCGCCAATACTTTAAGCTTTAGGGCTGGAAGAATACAGCTTCCCACTTAACTAAAGCTACCACCAATTGAAACACCATATAAGCATAACATTGATTCAACATCACGGTTATTGATTTTCACATTTTCTACATGTACAAAATAGCTCATATAGGGAGCTTATAGTGATGATTCCTCATTTCCGGTCGGATACAAGAAGTGATTATAATCATTCGAACCATTCTTGATAATTCAAAAATAATGTCAAATCAAGTTGGTGAACTCCAACTGAAATAGAATAGGAATGGCTGAAAATGTTAAAGGGTAATTATATCTTTTGCGATGGTAAACAATAACTAAGTTTGCATAAATAGGATAATGTACAATAGTGTAAGAGTAGACGTTTTCCAGATTCTTCCACCGTCATAGTCAGAAATCTGATTCTTTTCAAATGCATATGTACTTAAGAAATCTAAAGTTGATAAAGATTTTGGGCATGTTCTCCACAGAGAAATGTCATTCGATTTTTAAGCAAAGATGATAAATGTTGACTCTAAGTCATGGATAAGATGGCTCATTCCAAACAGTGCTACACATTGGAAATATAAGTGATAATCCGTCATGCTACCTCTACACACCCAAAACATCCAAGAAAACGTCATCATGAATTTTCAAAAAGGTCAACGTCATCGAAGAGTGTAAGCGATGGTGAGATGAGACAACGGTTCTATTATCAGAAACTTTATTCATATCCAACTTCCCAAACTAAGCTAACTTTCCTTGGTCGAAAAGTGAAGAAGGATACTATAGTCAAGGAATCACTAACAAATTGTCGATAAAATCGACAAGACCAATGATATCCCGTAATTCCACAATACTTTGTGAGAATTTCAACTTTCTTCTTTTACGACCTTTTTAGGAAAAGAAAAGAATCTCGTCCACTGAGATCACGTCTCCCAAGGAAAGTACCAATTTAATCAAAGTTTACAATCGAGGAATCTGGTATAAAGCTGACTAACGGTTTTATTTTTATTTTCAATCATCACCCGATCAAGCTGCTAAAATGTAGGTACAAACCTAGGTTCAGTCTTTCACTTTTGTGAATAGGTTTGAAGTTCCCTAGATAAAGTGTTTGATTGGGTAATTCCATAATCGGTAAGCTTTAGTGACTAAGTTCTTTCAATAAGGTAGGATTTGATCGAAAAGTTACAAGGAAAACTGATATATGAGTGGTTCGATAAGAAATAGGGAGAATAAATATGGTGTTAACAAAGTAATTCATTGGTGTATTCTATTTCTCGCATTTAGCGGCATCCCAAGTAGAATTTTGAGAAGAGACGCCAAAATATATATCCTCGAAACATACTAAACTACTAACTCTACGACACGAACTAAAAAGTCTTCACAGTTTTCTTGTCACTCCAAAACATTCAACCAGTGAGATGTCATTTTGTATTTCGATTCTACTGTCTACCTTTGGAAAAGATCGAAAGATGGCTAGTCAAAGAAATTTTTATTATCTAACTAGGTTATAGGGTTAACATAACCGTGAGTTTACTGTCTTAATACAAGGTCTATTACTAAGTTTCCTCAATTTAGTTTCTCAGGCTCAAATAGTCACTGTTAATCAGTATACCAGTTGCGATGCTAATTGACGCATATACGATATTTTAATATTGTTCGCTACCCTGAAACTGTAAACTGGCGTCTTGGCATAAAGGTATCACTCCCAGATACTAGCATGTGGCCGGTATCAGAAATCATACCACCTAATTACTAGTTAACAGCTTCTGGATATCGGACAGTGTCGCCAATTAGTAGTGCCATCATAGGGTGGTTACAGGCTAGAGCTCGCTCGAACAGTTGGTTTTGGACGATTGGTAAAGAATTGGTCTTGTGAGATGGTTCATTAATTCGTACACCTATGCCTATACTCATCGAAATGACGAGTATAGCACCAAAAGATAACTCGGAAACTAGCGTTGGCTGGAACGTCCTAAGGCCAGAGAAAGAATTTTCTAACAATTTACTTTAAGACACACTGAAACGGAAGTCGATCTTCCTCCTGAAGAACCTGATTGATCACTAATGCGTTTAGGAAGATTAGTGTTATCAGGGACCAAAAGTGATTGTCCCAAGATGTACTTCCATCAAGTGCTACTCTTGTAGCACCACATTGTCAGTCAAGACATTTCTGGAGTTTTGAAAAGAGTAGACCTCGTATGAATTCTAATAGGTGACACTGCCAAGGAACCAAAACTATTTCTAATTTCCAATCTAAAAAGGTTTAATAATGATGGTTAAGAATAGTGATGGAATTCATGTATAGATCCCTGGTGATACACCATTACCAATACAGTGACCTTGCTTTAAGGCCATCAACTAGTCTCGAATCTACATTTTTCCTTAGCAGGGAAGATCTTCGCTTTAAGTTTAAAAGCGTTCAACAAAGTAATCTTCCAAAATGTCAACAAGTTAGCAAAACTGCCTAAAACTGAGGAAAACTAACACATTTTTTTGTATTCGACAAGGTGGCAACATTCGATAATTAGGCTCAACAACCTAGAATGCTTTCATCATGCGTGTGATGGATGCAATACTGCCCAACTTATGCTTTGATATCAAACTGACACCCTAACCCAGAATGTCCACTAGGACTTCGAATCGAGCTATTTTGGCCGACACCTGGAAGGTGACAAAGCCATAAAGTGCAGTGATATGAAAAATGTGAGTAAATTTAAACTTAAAAGTACCTAAATACCAGAGTGTGCTGGTGAGCGGGTATGCACCCACTTCACACGTGTCGTCAGAGCATAAGTAAAGTACAGTAGTGTGGGTAAAGATCATACCCTCAGAGGTAGCCATTTATACTAAGATTCGTCAAGAATCCTTGTCAATACGAACTTTCAGCAGCTAAAACTTGGAGAGGCGCAAAACAGAAAATGTAAGTGGCAAAAACAAAGTTTTTGAAAACATCTTTCTCTTTAGAAAATATAATAACCCCTCACCGTAAAACCCGTATAATTTCCCAGAAAATAATACTACATACATATATAGAAATCATTCTCGAAAGCATTGGAAACAAGATATATGCCATGCCAACTATCGCAGCAATAAATATGTAAGCCATGTGAAATAAATCAATGTAAAATGCTATGTCAGCCGGAGTCACCTAACGTGACCTGTATGGCTGAACCTATAGCTCATAATCTATTCCTGCACACGAGTCGGAACCACCAAATGTGGTCTGTACCATAGGGCTAGGTGTAAATATGTACACTCAAGTGAAACGATCACGTGAA